CTGATGGAGTGGTGGTGGTGGAATCAGGTGGTCTAATCCCCCATTCTTACATCCTGTGGTAATGCATGAAAATGCACTTCATGATAAAAGCAGGCTGAGCAGTGCTTCTATTTCCGTCTGCAGTTTTTCATGCAAAAAAATAAATAAACCACACACTTCTCTGTGACAATATGCTGACAAATGCATGGAGTGTTTTTGTCATGTGACCATTCACACACTGCATAAACAACAAGCCAGTCCTCTGCATCCCAAATAGAAGAAAAAATCCCCAAACTGCTGAAATGCTTTTCCTCCTCACATCACAAAAACAGTCAGGAGGCATTTCCTCCTTTCTCTCTCTCTGCTCCACACACACACACACGCGCGCACACACACAGATACGCGCACACCTCATGCTCGTAGTACCCAGACAGAGGATTCTTACCTATGCAAAGCTGCAGAACATAGGCGTAGTATGACCAAGCCACTATGAGGGCGATGAACAGGACCGGGATCCAGTACAAAACTCTCTGACAGCCCCGCTTGATACTACGCGAGCCCGACGGTGCCATAGTCTAGGAGCGGATCATTTCCCGTGCGCATTCGTGTGCTGCTCCTCTCCCTCTGTGTGTGCGTGTGTGTGTGTGTCTGTGTGTGTCTTCGTGTAGACTGTCACTGCATCGTAGCTCCGGCTCTGATCAGCCTAAATCGGCAGCTCAGACGCAACATCCTACCAGCCTCCCTCCCGCCTCTGATGGTGCCACCGCCGCCTTCTGCTGCTGCTGCTGCTGCTGCTGCTGCCGCTGCTGCACTCTGATCGTCCTGCTCAGCCACTAGTACAGACTACAACCAAATATCAGACAGCACACGCACATGCACACACGCACGCACGCACGCACGCACTCAGCTCTCACAGTCAGCGCCGCCCCTCCTCCCCGCTGCCTCCCCACAGGTTGCCATGACGTCCGAGGGATGCTGCAAGCCTGGCACATTTTCCAGCGCGCGCAGAAGATGGGTTCAATAAGTTCAGATACACGCACACACACACAGACAGACACACACATGGACACACACAGGCACGCATTCTTAAGGCACAACTTAAGAGTTCTTACAATGCATTTTAATGCAGAGCTGCAAAATATGTTGCAGGTGCAGAAGCAAAGGGATCTTACAAACCTGGATGGAAGTTATATAACATACGGGTACATAGAGGTGCATGTGAGGACAAGACAGATGGAAGAAATGTTAAAATGCACAAAAAAACAAAAACAAACAGTGGGCAGGACTCATAATTCCCAACTGACAAACTGATCAGTGAAACTAACTCCTGCTTTGTCACACACACACGCACTTGAGCTGCAACTTAGAAGTTTGTACAATGCAGGTTATCTGAGGACTGCAAAAATAAGTTCCAGGTGCAGAAGCAGGTAGATCTTGCAAACCTCCACTTGCACTAGAAGGAAATGATAAAACATGAAGGTAGGCAAGGGATAGGGCAGCTGTAAGAAGTGTTAAATCGCACAAAAAGACACCGGGCACGACACGGAGTTCAAACCTGACAAACTGATCAGTGGCTCTATGACCCCACAGTCTAGTTTAATTAGACAATACAATTTAGGAGTTGGTACAATGCAATTTACAACAAGGCTGCAAAAGATGCTGCAGGTGCAGAAGCAGGTGGATCGTGCAAACCTCCACTTGCACTGAAAGGAAATGATAGCGGTACATAGAGGCAAGTGAAGGACAAGACAGTTGTAAGAGGTGTTAAACACACAACAAACACCTGGCATGACACATAATTTACACCTGACCAACTGATCAGTGCAACTGACCCCACAGTCTTGCATAATAGTGTTGTTCCCACTGGTTCTGTGTGTTTTAACATTTCTTACAACTGTCTTGTCCCTCACCTGCTTCAGCGTACCTCTGTGTTTTATCACTTCCTTCCAGTGGAGGTTTGCAAGAGCCGCCTGCTTCTGCACTTGCAAAATATTTTGCAGTCTTGCTGTAAATTGCAACTCTTAAGTTGTGGCTCAAGAGTATGTGTGTGCATGATTAAGTTCCACTGATGAGTTTGTCAGGTGTGAATTATGAGTCATGCCCACTGGGTCTGTGCATATTAACATGTCTTATCCCTCACCTGCCTCCATGCACCTCTGTGTTCTATCATTTCCCTGCACATGTAGGTGTGCAAGATCCACCTGCTTCTTCACCTGCAGCATATCTTTTTGCAGTCCTGCAGTAAATTGCATTGTACCGAGCCCACCTGCCTCGCTGTACTTTATATTCTGTGCCAGTTTCCACCATATTCCACTGACTAATCCCTGATTAGTGATTGAGGAGCTGCTCTAATTTTTCTGTTTGAATGTGAGAAAGATTGGATGTATGATTTACCTTCTGTTGCCAGTTACTGTGGGAGGGTGACAACACGCTGACAATATGCAGCACAATATGCACATCTCAGAGGAAGCACAGACGAGCACTAAAAACTACAACAGCTTAGATGCTGGTTGACAACACAGTATCCACTGTGTCCACACGATGATATGGAATGAATATGCATGTAAAGAAACATGTCAAATGCACAGGTTATGTCCAGCATCATTGTTGTCATGGTCACTAAAACCACCAAAGAAACCAGAAAGATAACACTTTATCTCAGCCCTGCAACCACAAGCCAGATCTGTTTTCCTTTTTTTAAATAAAGCCAACAGTTGATGAGAAGATAAAAAGACTTCCTGTATCTGTGCTACCTCTGGGGAGCTATAACTCCTGTCCTAATGGAAACAAATTAATCTCACTGCGAGGAGGACGCAGAGACGCCAGAGAGACGACCTGAGCTCTTCAGTGTTGCCTCACAAGTGGGAAACATGATTTAAATTCCTCTGGTGACTTTACGGATCGCTTTACTGCCACATGAATGGAGCCACTCAGCCTGCGAACACAGTTGTATAATATCTCACGTGGCTCTGGAGCTCTGGAGGTTTTTAAAGTCTGACAAAATGGCTGTGATTATGTCATCAGCGTTATTTCAGACTGAGATTGAGACTTCAAGGTTCTAAAAGAAAGAGTCACAAACTCCACGCATTGAGTTTGAAACTCAGGCATTCACAACACGAAGGGGAAAACAAAAGATGCAGAGTTTTTTGAGCTTCAACCATAAAACTGAAAAGAGATTCTTTTGCTTAGAAAATTATCTCAATGTAGTTCTTGTAAGGCCCCAAAAGTTGTGCAATTGAAACTCTGAATTGCTAAAGTATGCCTAAGTACTCCTTTTCAGAGGCTGCACTGTTTGTTTTTATGTGATCTTGACTTTTTCTTCAAATGTAAAGGAACATTTTTCATTAAAATGGACCTGAGATGGGACATAGTGGGAGAAACTACATGTGGGGAAAAGCTTTATCGATGCACAGATATGATGTTCAGCTTGGGCGTTGCTTTTTTTTGTCTTTTACTCAACTACTATACGACAACTACTACTACTGTAAGAAATGTAAATATTACAATTCCCAGATTGTGTTAAGTTACATAATTCGAGTGCACCATCAGCTGGAGTCGAGAATATTACAAGGTACTGATGGATCGTTTCAAAAAACAAGATTCCTCTTAACCTTAAGCAGATAATTTATAAGATTTATTCCCTGGTGGTCTAGTGGTTAGGATTCGGCGCTCTCACCGCCACGGCCCGGGTTCAATTCCCGGTCAGGGAACTAAGCTTCAACAATTTCCCTGAGGTACCCAACCAAAGAGATCAATAAAGCTCCATCTAATCTTATTCACAAACAGGTGGAGTAAAAAGTAACATATCTCTCTCTTAGCCCAATGGCAGGTCAAAAGGAACGTTATCATTTAAAAATATACCAGAGCAAGAAACTGTAAAAACAGAGGGAATCATCAGATTTTCAACTTTTCAGTCGTCTAATCATCTGTGACAGGAAGTCGCTCTGTTGGCAGAAATAATTAAATGTAAGAAATTGTGATATTTAATCAAAATTCCAAATATTTCGTTTAAAAATTTGTCACAAGCACAACTGAGAAGCAACAAGCCAACAATCACATGACAAAAATGAAGAGACTTCTCGGCTGAACTGCAGGAAGTGTTTAATCCTGATCCGTACTCGTCTCCTCGCTGCCACAGTTTTAGAGAGACTGAGAAGAAAATAAAACATACTTGACTGATAAAAATAAATGCAGCATGGCTCAAAAACGGTATACAGAGGAGAAAGTTGTTGGAAGATACATTCAGCACGGTGAAATGACTTTCTAGATTTGATGTGCGACATGACAGATACTAAAATATCAATAATATGTAGAGACGCTGTTTTTTTTTGTACAGTGTTGGCAACGCACAGAGGCACTCGGAAAAATATTGTACATGTTAATCCATTTTTTAAAATTTAAATTGTGTGAAATAATTAAAAATCGACATGGCTTCTCTCTTTTTTTTTTTTTTTAGGATTTCTGGCATTACAACTGAACAGAACCCATTTTTGAGCCTACAATGAGTAACAAATGTGACAGGAGCAGAAAACGCCAACAAACTCCTTTAGAGAGTTAAAGAGTGGCCGAACAATGAAACACACCTTCTCTTTACATTTCACAGGTCTGGTACAGAAACCTTGAAGGACCCCCGTCATGTTACTTCACTAAGTGCAGGATTAGAGTGTGAGACTGCAAATTATTACCCTGCTGAATAAATCATTTAAAGATTTTTTTTTTTTAAAAAGTCCCTGATTGGAGTCTTGAACGCCCACACAGTCTCAGGTTCCTGATGATTAATACTGTTAATGATTTGCCTTCAGGTTGAGATTAAAACAGCTAATTTATTCTACTGTGGTCCTGCCTTCGGTCCACTTTAGTCGCAAAGAGAAGAAGGTTTGCTGAGAGGACGGTGAGAGCAGGGTTGGTTTATTAGCCGACACACGTGAAAACGGTGATCACAGCTGCAGCAAGGCAAGAAATCACTGGCATGCATTAGTTTTGTGTGAGAGAAAGAGGACAAAAAACACAGAGGATCCAAATATTTGTTCTTGTATTTATTGCACCATGTCATTAGAAATGCATCTGCGCTCTGACAGTAACAGTCGAGGCCTGGTTTAAAAGAAACGAGGTAGACTAACTAATCCAAGAGTTAAACAGAAGAGAGTCTGAAATAGAAACACATGAGCCTGGTTAATATTAAAGCACGCCTGAAGCATTCAGTGCACCCAAAGCAAACATTACAACAACTGTTATTCAAAAGTACAAGCTCTTCTATTCGATAAAGGTCATCTTAAAGTTCTGCTCCTGCTAAAACCAATGATAATTTAAGCCGAGCGCCCCAAGAGTCAAACAGACATATGGCTTCGATATTTTGCATATTTATTCATATGGAGGTCATCCCTGCAGTGGCGTAGCGGCGCTTCTCTTCACTCTGAGCCAAGAAATGATTAACACTGTTAGCTGCCTGTAGTTAAACAGTGAAAAAGCCAGAGACCGAGCGAGTGTGTTCAGGCCTGCCGGCTCTGGAGGATCCTGGAGGATTTTAGCTGCAGCGCTTTGGGAGGAAATAGGAGGAGGGGGAGGAGGAGGTCCTGAGTCGACGTGTGCAGGAGGCTGCAGAACCGATAAAAGGACGAAGCATGCAAGCAACGAAGCAAGCAATAGGCTTATAGATAAATAAATAACAGCAATAAAAAGCATTTAGATAAACTAATAAGTGCAATTTAGAGGACTGTAACACTGACTGAAGTGGATGTTCTCGGTTCATTTTGGGTCATTTGTGTGTGTTCGACCACTTGTGTAACAGATTTCCATTAGCTTGACCACATCCTGTTTGTGCCACTTCCTGTTTATGTTAAAAAGATGCTGCAGCATGCATGAACCCTTCGTCCCGACGGAGAGCGCAGAGGAGACGCAGCTCGTCCAAGCCGGCGAGACGTGCACCGGAGCCGGAGCGTTCACCTGGTGGGAGACAAAGTCAAACTCAAAGTCAAATTCATTCATAAAGCACGTTTAAAAGCAAGAGTAGTTCAACCAAAGTGCCATGAAACACCGAAACACAATCACACACAGGGACTAAAAGACAAAATCTGAATAGAAGACAATCAAACAAGAACGAAAACTTAAAAGATGAAGTTGAGGAGTGTTGAGCTCTTCTAGAATGAGCAATTTAAAGGTTTCTAAAGTCTCCCATTAAAAGCTAAACTCTTGCAGAGTCTATCTGTTTGTTCAACCTCAATGCTCGAACTGAGCTATGATGAAGCAAGATAAATAAAGCCCATTTAAAACCATAACAACAAGCAATAAAATCTTAAAAATCCATCCTGGAAACGACAGGAAGCCACAGGAGGGAGGCCAGCACCCGTTTTATGTGATCACGTTTTCTTTTTCCTGTTAGAACACAAGCAGCAGCAGCATTTCGTACCAGATAGCTGCTCTCTGGCCACATTCGAGGAATCACAATAGTCTAGTTGACGGGTAATGAATGCATGAATAACTTCTTCAAAGGAGAGATATCGGCCTTCACCTTGACTAAAAGCTGTAACTGAACAAAGCTGGTTTTGATCACTGAGCTGATCAGTCAAGCTGTCAAAGATCACACTCAGGATCCATTGTGTGAAGCTAAAGTGGAGGAAACTTGGATGAACAATCTGTGTCTTTCCTGCATTTGAGCTTCGCACAGTTTCACATTTCTTGTGCATTCTGTGGCTGTAATTAGACACTGAAAAATTAGAATACCGAGAAACAAAAACCACAGCGCAGCAGCAGTTCTGCAAGTACGCAGAAAAAAGTCTGGGTCCCCTGCAGTGGCCAAAGCTGTAGATATTTAGCATAAAAAGAAGACGCTCTCACAAATGCTTCAATTATTTTCTTTCATTTAAAACATAACGGGGAGTATCGCCTTAAAATAGATTCGTAGGAAGGCTGAAAATGGCAACAGTGCGGCTGAAAACTCTGACATCTTGAGAAATGAGTTGATTCACTTCCTTGTGGAGTCTGATGAGATCACACAGACTCGTGTTTGCAGAGTAAATATGAAGCTACAGGCAGCAGCTGGTTAGCTTAGCTTAAGATTAAACCAAAGAGGGAAAATGATCATTGTGGTGGTCCGCTTCTCTGTCTATGTGCTGCACTTCTACACTGCATTAGGTGGTCGGATCTCACCATCAGAACAAGTGGTTTGATGCTTCTCCTTCGATAAATCCCTTCCTCAGTCCGAGTAAAGCTTTCGTCTGTCGTGCATTTTTGTTTGTTTTGTGCCATTTGACAGAACTAACATCACATCACTACTGATTATATTGACTCCCACATCTGGTATTTTGGGGGTTATCTTGTGTTGATTCCATGTTTTTTTGTTCATATCTCTCCATCAGCTCCACTCCCTCTATCCTGCAGATGCTGGAGTCTATCCCAGCTGACAAAGGGCGAGCAGCAGGGCACATCTTGGACAGGTTACCAGCTTACAGAGGGCAAACAATGAAAAGCCAACAAAGTTTGAACCAGAACCTTCTTGCTGTGAGGCAGCCGCCATGTAGCTAGAAAGTGCAATTCTTGGAGAGATTGCAGTGTGATTGCTGAAATCGGCAGTTACGGTCGCTTGTGCCCAACTGTGATTAGTGAACAACCTGCTGTACACTGAAAATGTTCATACCATCATTATTGGCTGTATTTGAGTCGACGGTAAAAAGTCGGTTGTAGCTGTCCTACAAATCTACAGCACCTTGTAATCTAAAGGTTATAAGTTAGTTGTAATATTACAGATCTCGTCATTGTTTTACTGCAGAGTTGTGCAGGTTGAAGCAGCGCCTGAAGTTTTTGACTTGACTCTACTTCCGACTGGAGTGGAGCGTTAGAGGTCAGCAAACAGAAAGATCCAGCAGTCGAACCAAGAACCTTCTAACTCTGAGGCACATTTGAAGTGTTGTGGGGCTTTTTTGTTGAAATAAATGAACTAATTATTGGCCTTCATTGTACATTTCAGTCCTTTCTCATGGCCTCTGATCATGACATAATAACCCTCACATGATGCACATAACACACAATTAAACCACAGCCTTTGTGTTTATACACCATAACACATTACCTAATGAGCTTTAGAGACGCTGGGAGGTTAATTTAGTGGCATTTGGATGGAGCCCATTTGGCTTTTCCCTCCTGTTTACAGTCTTAATGCTAAGCTACGCTAACAGGCTGCTGGCTGTGGGCTTATCTTTATCCAAAAGAAAAATACAAGAGCACCCATCCTCCCCCTGGAAGGTTACAATCATATCAAAGCAAACCAAAATTAAATATTACCTCATCACTGTACATTCAATATTCTAAAAATCTCACAATAATGATGCTAAATTGAGGTTATTCTATCTTTTTATATATATATTTATATTTTGTGGGTGTCGCCAAGTTGTTAGTTTGTACACCACATGTGCACCGATGCTCTGTCCCTATATTTGATTCAATAAAAGCACAAAAATGCCCAAAAACAAAAACAGATTTCTCAGATAGACGCTTTTTTTTTTTTCTTAAATTGCAGCACTGCTTGCAAAAAGACTCGAGTCCTTTCTCATCAGGGGAGATTAATAAGCTCCCTCCTGAGAGGTGCATTTCCTTTGAAACATTTATACAGCTTTAGACGGCGCTGCTCGCTGCTCATGTATGCAGACCTAAGCTGGTATCTGGTGGCAGTTGTTCAGGCGTTAATATTACAGTGAAACTTAATGCTTGAGGCGAGGAGAGTGTGTGGGCCTCAACGCTCATCTCAAATGCTGCGGTGCGTCTAAGCTACTCTGTCACAGAAGCAGTTAAAAAAAAAAAACATTCTTGGACTTTTAAGCTTCACGTTTGACAATTGTGTGTTTTTATCCTCATCCTGTTAATCAGAAAATGCCAACAAAGACTTTTACCTATTTGCCTGAAAGCTCCTTCTTCATGCAGGACTTGAAGGAGATGAACTTCTCCTCCACTCTCATGCCCTGTGAACATGTTGGAGAAAGACATTTTATTTCCCCAGAAGTTCCCGGCGTCCCGCTAGATGGCAGTATAACGTCACACAACTCTCACATCGCGGGAGCTGCGTGTCAGTGACAGGAGTGTAATTTAGACATGATGATATGGAGTTATTTAAGTATACTGCTGCCGAAAAGAAAAAAGACACATAATTAGTCCTCACTCAAAGTCAGTAATTAAACAGGACACATGGTGTTTTGTTGCTAATAGCTGCTTAAGTAGGCCAGATTGTGTGAAAGTACTGTTTTGAGACTAAACACGTGTTTCTGAGCTCAGCATCAGCCCACATTCGCCTGTTTGTCCTCCGTGAGTCCATCTTCCTCGCTGACAGGCTGCACATCAAACGGCAGCTGACAGACTGATTTACAACGCTGATGTCTTTCACATCCGACGCCGGCTTCTCCCTCTGAGGCTGACGAGGGAGGAGGAGTCCGGTGCATCTTTTCTGTCACCTTCAGAGCCATAAAATAAAATAAATGGCGTTTAGCAGAGCCCTCACCCCTTCGCCGCGGTGCAGCCGGTCCTTCATGACGCCGATGAACTCCTTGTGGCTGAGTTTGCCGTCGTGATCCTCGTCGAAGATCCTGAAGACGGTGTTGACCAGGTGACGAGTCAGCTTGATGCCCGTGGCCACGTAGACGGCTCGAGTGAATTCATCTGAGAGGGAAGAGAAACAGGTGATCAGATGGAGAGTGAACAATAAATCAGCACCTAAAAGGACGTGCTGGATTATTATGTGCTTGTTCCTGATACTAACATTAATACTTTGACATTTAAAGGGATAAGATGAATTCACAAAAGCTCTTTTTATAGCAGCTGACTGGTGAACGTCACTTAATTCATGGATATCTTTAAGATTAAGACATTGTTCTGCTGTGAAGAGCAGTTTCTTCAGCAGTGACAAACCTTCCTCCTGTACATTCAACAGCTTTTTAAGACCACTGGATTCTAAACTTCTAAACCTTCCTGAAAACAGGAACTAAAACAAGACAAATGCAGCGATGCAGGGAGGATACAGAACTGTTTCAGCTGAAACTGAGAGACACAGTAAAGCCCTTTTCTCAGACGTGGGACATGGAACACTGCTGGCTTCATCAGTCTGTTAAAGCGAAGGCATCCTGACCTTCAGTATTAGTCATGTGATATTAGACAACACAGCAAGTGATGCATCACACATAAAACAACAAACTAAATCTAAGATGGTAGCAGATGATTAAAAGGCCTAAACAACAGCCCACTTTGTTTCTGATTTTATAAAACAGTGAAACTTTGCGCTTGACTGCAGTTGTGGAAAATAAACTAGAAGCTGAACTATTCTGAGAATTTCTCTTACAGACTGTTAAAGGATGTTCTTTTTGTAGACTTTTTGTTTTGCACAATTTTAATTCCAAATTTCTTGCACTCTATTCTAATGACAATAAAGTTTCGAAGCACATGTACTGAAGTGCTGTACTTTCTACTCCACCACATGTTTGTCATAACTTTGCAGATGTTGGTTAATAATACAAAATATAATCAACAAACAAACTGTGATGCAATAATATAGATTATGACAAACTGTTTTGATCCCTGAGGGGAGATTCACAAACTATCCAGCAGATAAACCTTATAAAGTCACATTTAACAGTTTAAAGTGATAAACACGTGCATGTATCAATAACTATAATCCAGTATTACATATGACTCTGCATGAGTACTTTAGGTGTAATTTGATTCTAACACACGTGTGCTTTAACTCAAGCACAACACATGACTTCTGCTGTATTTCTACACTGTGGTTTCGGTACTTCTCAGTCTTTGGCCTCGTCCTCATCCAGCACCTTCAGGTTAACCGACAGCTTTGACTACGAGCCAGGCGTCGTCACCCAGCATCTCACTAATGCTCCTGGGGCTGAATGAGAGTAAATCCCTGCAGGCATTTATCCAACACCTTGAGGAAAACCTGCCTGCAGGAGAGGAAGCTGCTGCAGTCACACGTGGGTGTAAAGTTCAGGTGTGCACATCAGACTTCTGGACATTTTTTATAGCTTTTAATGGAAGACTATGAAGAATTTGCAAGTATAATGAACATTTAATTTAGTAGATTAGAGTAAATTTATGCTTATGAAGTGGTGGAGGAAGTGTGGAGATGCTTTTTACAGTTTTATCTAATGTTTTGTGTATTTTAACGCTTTGTGAAGCACTTTGTAACTCCTGTTTTAAAAGGTTCTATAGAAATAATGTGTATTATTATTACTATTACTTAAGTGAAATGAGCTAAACAGCAAAGTAAAGTGATTTAATTGCATTTTATTGAGGTCCTGCAAGAAAAATCCTACCTAAGATAAAGTCATAAGACAAAATAAGACAAAATAAAGTCAAGATATTACACTAAAAGTACTGGTTTGGCCTCGTTGACATACATATCAGTATATATATAGATAATAACAGTGAAGCATCAGTGTGTTGGCAGCATGTTACTGTCGTAGCTGCTGCAGATTTGCTTGACTTATATCCAGTTTAATATCCAGGGACAGCAGATAAATCCGAGGGCTCCCAACATGATTAATGGAAGAATTTAAAATTTTGATCCACAAACCTGTCCATCAAGTTTTTGGACTTTCTTCTTTAATCTTTGATTTTTGTTGAGACATTGGATCATTTATTAAAACATGACCAGGTGAGGAGTTTAAAGAGGGAAAATCCCTATTTGGTGGAGCTGTTAACAACTCATAGACGTCTGAAATGTGACCCCGCTGCTCTTTGCAAGAAGCCAAAAATGATGGGAACTGATTTACTTTTTAACAATGTGTTGTATTTTAAAAGCGTGATACATTATCCACTGTGTAAAATCTTCATCTTAAAAGTAAATAAAGCTGTCAGATAAATTTAGTGAGGAAGAAAGCACAATATTTTCCACTCTAGACGCTCACCAGATCACAACTTTGTGTGCATGTGTCTGAAGTCATTTTTCACAAGAACGTACAAATCTATTGGAGCTGAAATGACATTTTCCACGTTCCATGTTTTTATTCATCCACAGCAGTATGCGTGCACCTCGGTTCTGTGCAAACAGTAAGAACACTCTGGAAATATTGTGTTTCTCCTCCAGAATCACAAGAAAGAAACCAGACTGTAACCAAAACTAAACGATGCATCAACTCCTGGCTAATTGTTGTGCAAATCGCATGTGACTCCAGACAGCGAGACTTTACCTTGACCGATGGAGCGGTTTGCAAAGTTGTACATTTGCATGGCGATGGCAAAATCCTCCAGGTTGTTGAGGAACTGGAAGAAGGACCTGAACTCTTCGAAGGTGATTCCCTGCAAAAAGCAAAACACGGCAAGAAAACTTTCATTGATTGAATGTGATAGAACAGAGTCAGCAGAGAAGAGCGCTAAAACTTCACACAATACATAATCTGCTCCCTTTCATCTTGCAGGGGATCCTTGAGTGTGTGTGGGAGCTCAGATAGATAACACACCCAAACACACAAAGTATACATTGCTGGATTTTCCCTGTGCCGTATGGACACGCCGAGCTGTCAGCGGCGGGGGGAGGATTGTAGCTTTTGGGAAGAGGTCAGGCCGTTTGCAGACTTTTCTAAGGCAGATTAACCTGATACTTGAATAAACAAAAACAAAAGTGATGAATCCCCAAAACATCTCAGGCTTCGCTGATGACTCAAACACTGAGCCCATTGATGTCCAGTCAACCGTCCCGCGGCTACTAGCTGCTCCTCTCGCCGGAGGCCTCGGGCCGAACAGACACCACACACAGCCTAACAAATGGAGTAATGACTAATCTGTGACGCTTTGCTGTTTTAACAATGCGAGAGCCATAAAATATCTCTTAGCGTAATGACGAGGCCCACTTGATTATCAATGGAGATCTCGCAACAGGCTACTCGAGGCGGCTGAGGAGCTGCTGGCACCTTTTCATGCGGGTCAGCGTGCCAAGAGGAAAAACAAATTAAAGCTAAAATGAGGTTGCTTCACTCAGCAGCTGATTCACAGAGGGGAAGCAGTACAGAGGAGGAAGATGCTCCCAAATTCACATAAAGCAAAATGATGTCAGACTTACATGTAAGGACGCAAACGTGTTTTCAAGAAAATTAAGTTGCTCGAGTGCTTCTTCAGTGGGTCGAATATCTCTGGAAACCCCCTCAGACAAACTGATGCAGTTCATTTAATCCGTGCACTTCTGTCTTTTTTAGTTGCTTTAGTTTTTGTGGCTTTATTTGTTTGTTTTTGCAGTAGTTCCAAGAATAGTTTGACATTTTCAATCATTTGCAGCTAGCTTAGCTTAGCATAACTGACTGGTGATTTGGTTAAAAAAAAAAAAAAAAAATGTTCCTTCATCTTATGTGTGTATTTTTTACATTAATTTAACCACATATTATTGTTTTTTTGTTGTTTTTTTTTACCCTAGGTGGGAGAGGAATTGCACATGATAAACGCTTTGCAACCTAAATCTAAAAGTTTTTTGAAAAGTCAGAAAAGAAAAAAATGTCCTCTTATATCCACCAATATCACTCCAGGGTTGAAATTTTACATTTCCAAGTATTTCAATGAGTGCCCTGTAAAGGCATAAAGCTTCAATGTCCCTTTGTGCAAGAAGGTCACATCTAGAGCCTGCAGACGCTCCTCAGCAGCATGCACGACCTTTTCATCACTCTGAAAACGAAGCTTTCTTCTCCATGTTTATGCGATTGATTGAAGTTTTTGTGGACAGTGACATAAGGCTTTATCGTCTATAGTTATGCCCCCAAATGGGAGTTGTGCCTCTTGTTTTCAGGTGGGACCAAGAACTTCTTAAATAACCCTTGTGCAATCTTTGTAAAACATACAAGGTGTGTCAGAAAAGTTCCAGGACTGGTGTCACAAAAGATATATTTCAAACCCAAACTACAAACTACTAGATTTCCCCTTCAGACGATCAACCAGGACGTCTACAAAGAGATCCTTTTGCTTCGTTCAGTGCGCCAGAAGAGGCAGAGTTGTGGCAGGACAAGTCGTGGCTGCTCCACCATGACAACATGCCTGCTCATCATGTCCATCCGACAGTTCCTGGCTGAGAAGAACATCTCCGTGCTGGAGCAACCTCCCTACTCACCCCACCTGACTCCGTGGGATTGTTTCCTCTTCCCCAAGCTCAAGGGGGATCATCAAGGGGACCTGCTTTGAAGACAAGGACGACATCAAGGCGGCTGTGACGACGGAGCTGCAGAGGATCCTGGAAGAATCCTTCCAGGAGTGCATGGTGGCGTGAAGAGAAGGCTGGAAAAGTGTGTTAGACTCCAGGGGAATTACTGTGAAGGTGAAAACTTGTCGTTTGGATTTATAATATATCTTTTGCGACACCAGTCCTGGAACTTTTCTGACACACCTCGTACACATCCTGAGGAGAAGAGTTCATTAATCTCCTGTATTTCTTGAGGCTCCAGTTTTTGATGCTGTGTTGGATTAAATAATCTGGTAACATATTGTAATTTTGTCCACTCTTGTGCTTTGGGATTCACAGTGGCAGCTGTCAGCGGTAGCAACTCGGTGAATCTAGAGGAAAAACACACCTTGTCATCCGGTATGTTGTGACGCACGTTCTCCAAATAGCCGCTGACGTCGTCCACGTTGGTGTAGCGAAGGAGGATCCGAGCGAAGTCCTCCTCGCTGATGGTGGGCATGCCTTTGGAGTAGGAGAGGAACTCTATCTCAAGCACCTCTGTCTGCAGGTTGTCCATGAACCTGGAGGAGTGAGACAGACGGCAGCTGCTGACAGGAAACGCCACCACCACAAGTTTGCGCGCACAAAGGAAACACTTAAAACAGTCGCTAACAAAAGCACTGACGGTTTATCTGCTGGAAGTTCGGTGTGGTATGAAAGTGATTTATGGGCCCTGCTACAGCGTGAGATAATCATTTTTACGGGGACGTCGTCATTAATCACAGAGCAGACAGAAGGTTTCTTAACTCACTTGTAAAAATCTTCAAACTTTAACTCAGCTTTGCCTTTTTTCCCAAAGAAGTGCACCAACAGTGTCGTCTCCGTTTTGTCATCCACGTTCTGTGAGAGGGAACAAACGTTTACTGCAGTACAGGGCTTCACATATGCATCCAGAACAAAAAGGCAACAAAAGGCCACTGATTAAACCAAACCTTGTCTAAGTAAAATCTCATCTACCACTCACAAGACTATCATGGTTACCAGGAACACAAAGCAGAGACGTTCATTCAACCATGCTGAAGGCTGTAAGTAGTGTGTTAGTTAATACCAGGGCTGTAGTCTCCAGGTGCACATCACCAAATTCAAATTGGTGTTACTATCAAAAGGAGGAAAGAGCTACGTCAAATGCCTTCCAGGACTAATCCATGATTTTTGGTGGCAGGAGGAACAGACTACCTGGGAACACCCCGACAATTTCACAACACTGAATTCATGCATGCTAATGGAGATTGCTAGTTTATGGTAACTGAATGTTTACTTGAAGTTTATTCCAAAGAAGTCGTCACATTTTGTTCAAACAGACGGCCTAAAAGTCGAGTTTCCATATCACAGCTGAACAACCAACGAGGTATATAATCTAAACATCCATCCATCCATTATCTATACACCACTTAACCCTCACTAGGGTCATGGGGGGCTGGAGTCTATCCCAGCTGACTCAGGGTGAAGGCAGGAGACACCCTGGACAGGTCACCAGTCTATCACAGGGCTACACTTAGAGACAGACAACCAAGCACACTCACATTCACACCTACGGACAATTTAGAATCACCAATTAACCTCAACATGTTTTTGGACTGTGTGCGAGGAAGCCAGAGAACCCAGAGAGAACCCACGCTGCACGGGGAGAACATGGAGACTCCACACAGAAAGATCCTGGGTGTCCTCACTGGGACGCGAACCAGCGACCTTCTTACTGCGAGGCAACGGTGCTAACCACCTCATTATTCCTCAATAGTTGTTGTTCTGGGATCACTGTTTGACGTAGTTGTGTTTTCAGAAATGATATGAATATGGGTAGCTGGTCTGCTCCAAGGTTAAAATGATTAAATATGCTGCAAATACTAACTTTTTATGTTTATTTATAATTCACTTAGGCTAATAAGGCACGCAAGTAGAGTTTTTTTCCCCTCCACAACCAAATTATGCAGCTAAATAGTGGGTGGGATCTCAAGATTTTCACTGGTTAACTACAGCCCCAGTTAATACCCAGATGTAATATTTTTACCTACATTAATGACCTGAAGGCGCACATTTTAATGGCGTATTACCACCTTGCTGCAAGTTGTTGCATGCCAATAAACAGTAAACATAAATCTGTACCAGTGTTTCTGGCCACCTGACATATGGAAGTCAAAAGGTCTGTGTTTTGCTCTGTTTTGGTCACCATAAAATTCCATAGTCTGAAAATTTAAGCCAATGCAGAAGCGCCTCAAAGCTGCATTCTTGTGAACAACTAGCAGGAGGCGACTCCTCTGGTTGCCAAGAAAATTGTCAATTTCTCACTTGATTTTTTATCTCTGTAAACCTTTTCCTATAATGTTCATGATCTCAGTCACTAGTTTCTATATGTTCCTTACCTAAAGTAACACAGCTCAACAACCAACATAGTGTACAATCTAAAAACAACAGGCTAACTTGTCTGTGTCATCAATAGTTGTTGTCGTGGGATCATCAATTCATCTAGTTCTGTTTTCAGCAATCATCTGAATAAGGGCAGCTGGTCTGCTCCAACGTTTGTTATCACCTCAGTATAAACTAACAAGGTCAAAATGATTTAATATCTTCATTTACAATAATGAGAGCAGCTAGAGTGACAAACTGCAGATTTTTTTTTTACCGATGATTAATTATTTGGTTTAACACTACACATGATTTTCTCTGGTTGACTACAGCTCCAGTAAATACCCAGCTTCTGCTACTGACTCAGAGTTAAAGGTTCATTCTTGCCTGAAACCAAACCAAGAGCTGACATTTCTCACTTCTGCGTTATGCAAACACGTGCCATGCAACAGTATCATCAAACATGCTGAACCTCTTGCTGCAGATCTGTTAGAGGAAACACCTTTGAGTTTTCGCTCTCACTTACGAGATAAATCAAGAACATGTTCCACTGAATTCCTTGGAGAAACACAACAGTAAAGGCGCTCTGAGGATACAGTGGTGTGTTGCCGTGTGATTATTTATTGCAGAAACATCTTAAAAAAAGAGTGCCTGGCTACCTCGGTGAGATCAGAAAACAGAACTTGACTTGTGCCACGTCTGAGAACATCCCACATGCCTCGGGCCTCCACATGCTGACCGTCTTTTTTAAGAACCTGTGGTAGCAGTCGAAGCACAGCTGTTAGAAGACAAAATACATCTGGTACATGTTACCGAGATTAGGGAGAGGAAGGCAGATAAACAAACTCCGAAACAGACACGGGGCGGGAGAGTCGGAGAATCAGACGGGACAGAAACAGGTGAAGAGAAGGACGGACACGTGCAGAAACAGAGCGGGACTGACACCACCGTATCCCCGACATCAGCCTGATCTGCAGAGATGCATACGGGTACATTTACACGGCAAATGCATGTCCGAAGCATGCCAGATCTGCAGCAGGCTTCACGCCAGGTCGACTGTGTGACTGACCAAATATATCTGCAAAGTAAGTGCAGGTTATCAAACAGCTTCCATATATAGTTCTGTTGTGGAAAAAAAAAAAGGCTGTGTGGAAGCTGTGCTATTTTTCTCAATGAGGTCACGGATTAACCGATCATTATTATTATTACAGTTTACACTACTCCCTTCAGTCTCGCAGCTGCTGTGTAACGACTATAACTACAGCGAAACACTGCCGTCGTAAACAGTTTGCTTGTAATTGGTGTCATGTGCAATGAAAAGATCACAGGAAATCTGCCTCCCAAGCAGCGAAGAAAACTGTGATTTTAACTCCCACTTATAAACAAACCACGTTGGTGCCTCTCACTCCCATTGTGTGTGTTTTTTTTTTTTAAAAACCCTATCATTTCTCCAGTCTCGGCTCTCGACATCACCTCATTCAAAACAACATTAGCACACAAGCGAGCAGAAACAGCCAGCTGCTGCCGACACGTGTTCCTAAGTACGGTTCGCTTCATTTCATAATATTTATTTAACTTATTCCTTTTTCTATTTTTTTCATCTCTCGAGCCTGAGGGGGGAAACATGAGACAGCTGGTAAAACAGCTCTTCCTCCGCTTCTCATCGCGCTTTTTTTTTTTTTATACATATACGAGAGATTTACGGCACGATCCCGCAGCTAATTACGGAACAACTCTTTAATGCGCCGCGCTTTTCCCATCTCATCCCATGAAAAGATCCTGATACACTTGTAATTAGAAAACGCTGGGGGAAAGCCCAACCGCAGCACTGAAGACATGCCTGTTGTTGAAAAGGTTTGACTTTTGAACTTTTTTTTTTTTGCTGGAAAGATACCTTCAGTAAAACAGGAGGGAATCAAAACACACAAAAAAAAGACACACCTAAAGGTAAAGTCTTCAAACAGCACTCTGAAAAGAGCCAGTGTTAGCTGTAGGCTCTCCTCAGTGTGTGCTGAGTGGTTTTCACAGTGCTGCCTCTCCTGTCTGACTGGCATCTTCATGGTCAAACCCATCTCAAAAGGTAACCCGAGCCCAAATACCACTCCTCAAGAAACTGTAAAAATAAAACATGTGGGTCTGTGCAGAAACGTTGTCAGTCTTCAGGTAAGAGCTTTTTGAAGTGGAATCTCTCGCCCGACGCTGACAAAAGACGAGTACATAAATCATCTGCGCTGCTCTACCGCACACACAGGCACAGACAGCATGTGAGATAATGCTGGAGTGCAGGGTGATGTATTTCAATTTCAGTGAATGTGAATGAGGTTATCTGGTGTTAACGGAGACAAATACGGGTGGTGTCAGCCCCTGAGATACATGTGTGTTTTCTGTGCTAACTCGACCGCATTCCAAACGTACATGCAACAAGCAGAACTGCTCATTTTTACTTCAGGGGAAAAGAACAATACGTACACTGTGTGGCTGCGATGTGCGATGACCGTAAAGCTGCAGGCTCTGAAATGCAAAAAGATAGAGGAGTCATTTAGAATGCACAAAATATTTAGAAACAAGTTTACATGACAGGGCTTCGCCAGCGATCCAAGAATAATGCACGCAGCATCTTCATCTCGTCTTCCTGCAAAGCATCATTATATTTCCAAATCTAGAGTGCCCATTCTAATGATCTTTTTGATAGTCATACGGGCGTAAGATTAATTCAAGGCCGTCCAGAGATGCTAACGTTTGTCCTGGCAGAATAAGCTCCTCCATGTTGTGTTTGTGCGATAAGACCTCAAAGAGTCGCTCTTATCGCTCCATTCAGCTCTGCCTGTTTACATCCACCTGCATGCGGCACAAGACAACGCTAAAGAGATGAAAGCCTCAGGCATGTTTTACCCTGTACGACCAAATCACATTCACCTCTGTGCAGCCGCTGTTCTTTGCAGGATTGCTGCAAGTGTTGCGAGCACAAACCTTCAATGTTAAATTGTGCTTAAAATGTAAGATTCAAACTAAAAAAACTGACCTCATTTACTTTCATCAAACACAACACTGAAGTCATGGAATTCCTGTTTGCATATCAAGCAGGAAGTTCACGTTTCTGTCCAACTGGTGAGGAATGCAAGTCAAATATTGACTCTCTTTTTAGCTCCAGTTTTGGCCTCCACCAAGCCACTAACGCTCCACTATGTTTATTATCTAGTTGCAAACTTTGGTCCGGAGCAAGTAGCATACTCTAGGTCTGTTAAAGCTTTCAGGCTACAAACAAGACGAGGATCCAAACAGTAAAATTGCACACCATAAAAAAAAAAGAAACTAGCGAAACTAAAATGCTCTGGTGTCAATTTCCTGGGGGTTCACAACAATGACAGCTTAGTGCAGTTTTATACTGACATTAGCTGATTTTGGCCTCATGGGCGCAGCAGAACAACCTGAAAACACAACTTTTTTTTTTTTTTTTCCCAGCATATTACCACCTGGATGCATGTTGTTGCATGCCAGCAAACAGCTAACATTCAGTAAACATAAAATGCTGATGAATGGAAGTCAAATAGTTATATACATATATTACTATGTTTTGGGCTCCCTAGACTCTTGGGAAAAGTCGATAGACATTCTGTAAAAGATGAAAGTAGGTCTGGGTCTGAAAAGTGACGCCAATGCAAAAGTTAGCTGCATTCTTTGTAACAGCCAGCAGGAGGCGACAGCTCTGATTACAAAGAGGTCTGATTGTATAGAAGTCTATGAGAAAATGAGCCAACTTCCCACTTGATTTATTATCTCAGTAAACATTTTCATAATGAGTCTATGGTTTCAATTCCTAGTTTTAAGTCTCATTCAATACAGAAGGATGTTGATTTTATAAATTATGATCTCATTTAAAATAAAACAGACAATATAGCAGTACATGTTTTAGGGCGGGGCTACCCTGTGATTGACAGGATATCTGTCACATCCAGCTTCAAAAGAATAAGATGGTGACGGACAAATTCCAAACTCAGGCCTCAAAATGCTCGTCCACAAACCAATAAACAATGTCACAGTGGCTACATTTATCTTTTATATATAGTCTATGGCATAGAGTTTACAACATATTGAACTTTTTTGCCAAAAAGGCGAGTAAGAGAACCAGAAAAACAGAAACACAAAGCTTAAAGATGCATTAAAACTCTCACTTGCTGATCCAGTCTTTGCACATCTTCAGCAACTTCTTTTCTGTCCTTTTTCTTGCGGAAAATTTCTTCCAGCTGTGAGAGAAAGTATGTTCTTATGGAGACGTAACAGATAAAATGCCCTTTTATTACAGCTGACAATAAAGATGAGGTGCATACCACTAAGAACTCCCTTTTGTCCACCATTTCATTCCCATCTGCATCAAACATGTTGAAAGCAATCCGAAAGCCTGCATGGGGCTCTGAAATCAAACAGAAAAGAATTCAATTAGACAGCCACCCTTAAATCATAAAATTGTTTTTTTTTTAAAGATATTTATGTGAAAGTTAGCTCTACGTATGCTGACTTGTTAAAATGCAGATCAGGAACAGGTACTCGGTGTAACTGATGACACCTGGAACAGAGAGAAAAAAGGAGTGAAACCCAGAAACAAAAACCGAATTGTTCCTTTTTGCAATCAAGACGGCGTCAAATAGCATCGACCGGTTAGCTCAGGGTGTTTACAGATGTTCAAAGTCGCGCTGCCGAGATAAATAAGAAGCACGCCTTCAGACGTAAGTAATCTTCACTGATAACATCTTAAAAGGTGCTTTTTTTGCTTCATGCTCAGTGTTCCCCCCTTCACACAAACACGAGCTTTACAACTGAGCTGACCTATCTGGACAACAAACCCAAACAAATTTAAGGCCCGTGGCTTCTGATCGTGTTTGGGTGACAAGGTGTAATACATTCTCGAGTGATCTGTCACTGATTGAGAATGGCCGATTCGGGCTTTGTGTCGCCTCCTTCAGCTCCCCTTTGTTGTGCGACACCGAGGAAGGGAAGAGTAAGTGTCAGGAGACATCTCAGCCGACTCAGGAGGCTTCTCTTCCCTTCTGCCTCTGAAAGCATTCCCAAGCTTTTGTTTGCTCGGGGGGGGAGATAGAGAATCGAGCGCAGATAGTTCTGGGTGACTGCTCTGGGTGTTATGGGAAAAGAATTCAGGGTTTGCTGCAGGGAGATATTTCCAGAAACACTCAAAGAGGTTAACACAGGAAGATTTAATTTTTACATTTCCCTCTAGAAGCCGGAATGAGATGATGCATGAACTGAGGTGTGCAGGGAAAAGTTCACGTTGAAAAATTTCCCATCGTCTCACCCCCAGCGCTCTCAGCTTGGCAGGTACAGCCCTATAATGACAACAGATCTCTAACCTTCAAAGCCTTAAAAAGCTTAAATGGATTGAAGAGAGAGAGAAAAAAACTTTTAAGATTCCTGCCATGTCTCACCAATACCACACACCTTCACTCCTGAAGGCAGCCTCTCACCCACCCACCACCCCTCCTCCGTTCCTGCAGTTCAGCCTCTGAGCTCAAGTAGATGTTGTTAGACAATACAAAGAATTCCACAGAAACACTTCATACAGAGTGGCAGTCCCGGAGATGTAATCCAACGCCATTCTTAGGCTTCATAATGTCCGCGGTGATCAGGGGGGTGGCCGGTGGGACATGTCTCGACACAGCTGGGTTCAAACAGCTCCCTCATTCTCTAAAGCAGCGCTTTGTTCACAGATCAATCCAGGCCTTTTTTTCCCCTGACAAAGCTGCAACGTTTAACAGCAGGATTAAAAGCCCCAAATCCCAGCATTGGCACTTAGCTAAAGCAACAGAGGGGAGAGCAGAGCAGTGAGATCTGATGCTCCACTGGCTCCTCTGACCTGCTCAGTGGGGAGCTGTGTGCAGGTCCAGGTGGGAACATTAGGAAGAGATTCACTCGTAATGACAACTTCACTTCATGCAAAGTTACTGTGAAGGTTTGCGGGTTGCAGAAATGTCACAAGCAGAAAAAAAATCCTCCACCTGTGCAGAGTGCTCCTATAAACACACTGCCCACTTTATTAGGGACACCTGATGGAATCTAACGCGATCACATACAGCAGCTCTTCATTAATTCTACTTTTATAAAGCTTCCACATTTTCACATTTTGTTGTCATAAATGTGATAATTCTGCTTTATATATATTATTGAGGTCACACTTTTAAATCTAAATCTACACCACCATCACCCACTATGACCTCGATAACAGACATAAAGTCGAATTATTACCTTTTTATGTCAACAAAATCTAATGTAGAAGCTTCTTAGCATTAGTATTTATGGCAGAGCTGTCGTGATGGATTGCATAACGTTCTACAGGTGTACTTAATAAAGCAATAAAGTTAATCATTAAGTTATAATAATTAATGTTGCACATCGTGAAGGCTGATTATTTTCTGAGCACGTCCGTGTAGATTCTTAGTCATTAATGTTTGTGGTTCTAGGAGCTTCTGTGAAAAGCAGCTAAGTTTCTGTTTAAGTTCCAGTTTAGTTTCAGTTCCAGTTAGAACTGAAGAAGTCTCTTGGATGAATGTAAACAGTCTTCAAGAACCTAAAGGAGAAGTCCAGTTGCTTTTTACTGAAGCTCTTGGGACTATTTTCTGAGAACCACAGCCTAATTAAAACGTCTGTTGATTGACTGATTGATCTTTTTGGATATAAAATGTCAAATACTGATAAAAAATTAATAAATAAATAAAAAACGCCCACCAAATTGTCATGCTGTTGGTGTAAAACCTACAAATATTCACTTAACTCTTCTACAAGTCAGTGACCAGCAGAACATCATTACCTTTGAGCAACAGGAACCAGAATATTTAACATTCTTACTCAAAACAGACAAAGTTTTGTCCAAAAAGATGCTGGTTCTTTCCTTCAAGTGTTAATTACTTAAGATAGAATGCATGTTAATTGGGAAAAATTAGGGAAAACGCATAAAAAGTAGGAAGTCTTTACAGCTTTCCAGTCTAACATTTAATGGAGGTTTGTGATGCAAAATATTATTACAGCTTTACTCAAGTCTTTCAGTTTATTTAAAGGGTCAATAAGTTTGGAATATTTTAAATAATGTCTTTACCTGGGAAAAAAATGAAATTGGCATTTTTTAACTTCATTAACATAATTTAATTTGAATTAATTTGTGTAACTTTGATGTCTTTTAGCAGCTAAATTACAACAATATGCTGTTTGTCTACATGAATGCAGCGCTGGAATATAAAAAAAATACATTTACTTCAGTACAAAGTGAAAGTACAGGAGTGTAACTTCTCAGAGGCTACTGTTGTACTTTTACCTCATTAAATTAGTCTGACAGCTTCAGTTACTCAAATTAAAAATGTTCATACTCCTCATGTGCAGTGAAAACCATGTATCTCCAAATTTGTATGTTGACCTCAATGAATAGGTGTGGCTTTATGGTTTGAGAACATTCTCCTACTTCTTAAGATATTAAAAAATATATATTTTAAAGTCCTGTAGTAGTAGTAGCTGTAAAATGCATTGTCACAATGCTGAATATGGGGCTGTTTTTCATGAAAAAAAAAGTTGCCTTTTTAGGGATATGTGGTTTTCATAGTACAATAACAGCACAAATATAATATAAACTTATAGAGTATGATGTATTGCTGTAGATCGAACTTCCCAATACTGTTTAAAGTAGCTAAAATTAGCTCAGCCTTAAACAGTCTACAGTAAAATACAGCATATTTAACCAAAAACATCATACATCAGAGTAAAACACTGAGTTTTGATAGCAGGACTTTTACTTGTAGTGGAGTATGTTCATAGTGTGGTGTGGCTACTTTTCCTTTTAGTAAAACATCATCACATTTCAACACAAAGAGTCAAATTTCCAATAATAAATAAGTAGAAATTATTTACTTGGGTGAAAACAAGCTTTTTTCTGTCAAAGAAATTCCCACTAACCCTATAATTACCTTCAAATTATACAGCTTCTCTACGGGGTTTCCGGGAAACTTCATAGTTTCATTTGAGAAACAAGCGAGGATTGTTCTGTATATTACCCACGAACCATTCGATTCCCTCCTGCACAAGGTTACCTGAGAATATCTACGACATGTTACCAGACTGATGGGCGAGATAAGATAGCGTTTACAGCCCACACTTTCTGCTCCGGATTAAGGAACAGGGACGACATGCACACTCTGAGGGCCTCGATATGACGGCTTACCAAAACAAAAGCACAAAGGGGGACGGGAGGGAGGGGAATTACTTACATTCAAAGGGATTTATGTGCAGAGCTGGAATACATGGAGAGGGTTCTTTACCTCGTTCGCGAAGATTTCTAAACAAATTAGATGATCCTTTCCAAACAGGCGGAGTATCAGTCAGCATCTTGTCTAATTCCTGCGAGAATGGAGGAAAATCCCAAATCACTCATTCAGATCCACAGCGACACGACGCAGCGACGCAGTGTTTGCCGGCATTACAGTAATTACAGAGGGTTTTAACACAGATAAGGAGGAGATCCTGGGAATCAAGAGCTTCGATGACAGGAGGAACTCACCTTTTTTGTGAGGGCCTTCCACACTCTCCTGCCTGAATAATAAAAGGAGGTGAACAGTTAGTGGGTGACTTGTATAAAAAAATAAAATAAATAAATGCTGGAAACAAAAGTGAAAATAGGTGTTTACGTGGACAGAAACACGAGCTGTGACTCTCCACGAACGCATTCCGACGAACAATAAAAGCAGCAGATAAGACGGACGCGTCGTAAAAACACCTGGCTGGGAAATCACATCGATAACGGTGTCAATAACCCTCCGCTGACACATTTTAAAGCCTGCGTCTGGGATCATAATCGCTCCTAATATTACCCTCTATGCAGGCTGGTGTATGAGGCCTTCAATTAATCTTTCAGAATCTTAAGGATTACATGTGAATAATAATTGACATGACAGCACTTGAAAATATGTAAATGAACCCTCCCTAAACATCCACATCTCTTCATTTTAACCATAAACCACCGTGATTTTACAACAAATCAGACATTAGACTATTTGTGCAGCCACATTCGCGTGTCTTCTCCGTGATTAATTTGAAAACTTTACAGCCGGCCACACACCTTCCATCGCGATCGATGGCACTAATCAGAAGATTGTCTTATCATTACGTTTTATGGCATCCATGCTAAGTTGTTTGGTCTCTGTGGGTCCCTGCGAGTTTGTTGCCACATAAATGAGCCATAAAAGTAAGGTTGCTGGTAAAGATGTCTATCTTTATGCAGGTGTTATGACTGAAGCACTTCAAGCCGTGACTTATTGTCCGATGACACTTCACAAGCCCTCAGCAACAAGAAATATTCTGGAAAACAAGAGCAGGAGGTTTTTAAGCCTGTTACCAAACCAGCGCCTGTTTCAAAGGAAGCGGAGGGTGAAAGCAGTAGAGATTTGTCTCGTGACTTCACGGACACATAATTATGGAAATGGAAGCTGACAAAAGTTGTTCAGACATTCAGAGAGCAGAAAAGACTGAGGAGGAGGTGTAGCATCTGCAGAAAATGATCCACTGATAACAAATGTCTGTACATATTTCCATAAATGTAGTTACTGAAATCCCAAATGTCATCATCCTCTATTGGGTTATTCCATTTCAAATCATCATCTGCTTTCTGCTCGATAATCTCTAATTTGCTCCATTTTTCTTTTTAATCATAAACTATATATATATCTAAAAAGGTATCTGCAAATTGTAGCTTGATATACATTCCAAGATAGAGCAGGTTTTAAAGACAGCCCATCGACCCACTTTTGGCACATTTTTTTCTCACATTGAAATTTGAGGCTGTTTGAACAACAATATCTCAGGAAGTTTTAGAGATAAAAGCCTGAATTTTTCACTGTTATGTCTCAACATGTCAGTGATTCACAATCCGCAATACTGGACAAGTAGAGCAAATAGTCTCTGATTATGGGTGAGTTGATATATGAAAAGAATAAAGCAACACCATCATGAAAATCTTTGAGCTCATATTAACAAAAAACTGATAATGCAGACGCCAACTAGGGATATTTTCTGAACCACATGTAGCTACATGACACCAAAATACAAATGAAACATATTTAATACTTTTTAAAATTAAACAATTAGTCACAAAAACAAAAAATAAAGTTAGTTTCATTTAACTTAACCTAACTGATTGCTAGAAAAGCCTGGTCCAAGTCGATCAAAGTTCTAATCTCATTAAATGTGATTCTTCTGTCGAGACCCCCAAAAAATGAATCTGTAGCTTTTTTTTTTTTTTTTGAGACAACATTTCATTTTAGAGTTAAGCAACCTGTGCAGTGCAGCATAAAATCTCTGCTGGGCTCATCATCATCAGTATCCTAGAAAACAGAGTTTCTACTCTAGTCTATTTTAACCCCAACTGTGATATTTTTCAAAACTTAAACAGGTCTGCGGCCTAAGAGTTGTCCCTCCTGCAACATCGTCTACTTATAGCTGAAGGTCCTGTGACGTACACCACCTTCAGGCAGCTAGAAACACTCCCACATGTCATTTCAGAAACACTAGAATAGTTTCAAAGAGTACGAACAGACAGTGGATATGGATGTGACTTGTTGCCTTCTCACAGTTTTCTTCTTCCTGCACAGTCTGATCTCTGTCTGGATGACCCGTTCTAATGGCCCAGTAAATATTATAGCAAAGGTTGCAGGGCTGAACCTCAGTCAAACACAAACTCCAGTTTACTACAGCTTGTGTACAAAATGTATTTATACGGTCAGCTGGCACAGAGCGCCATAGAATCCACATCGGACGGATGCAGTTACAGAAATAAATGAAGCCGTTGGTCCACTTTGGAGACAGAAGCTGCATGTTTTCCTTTTCAAACTCTGCATGTCTCCAAATAATCCCATTCATAAAATACGTTTGCACAACATTAAGTACAGAGAAAGTCACAGTGACTCTGTGTTGACTTTTCCATTATTATTCTAATTTGTTTAATCTTTAAGGAAATGCCGGCTAGAAAAATGTGACTCTGGTTCCTGGTTTAGTTTGTTTTTTGTTCCTGGAATCATTTGCTCAGCAGCAGAAATGCAACATGAGACTATTTTAATTATAAGTCAATCTACTGATTGTTTTAAAAATTGACTGATTATGTGTTTGATGCATAGAGAAGAAGAAATAAATGTCCATAGTAGTCCCGCAGGGTGTGCTAACGTCTTGAGTCAGTGCAAAATCACAAAAACAAGCAACTCCTCTCAGCCCTGAACACCAACAGCTTCTCTTAAAGGCTGTCTGGTGTTTCCGGGACGAGCTGAACAAAGTTACAGAAGCTGACTCACTCTTTGGTTCGTTCAGAGTGACGGACTCGATGAAGTTTAGCGGCGTCATGTAGAGCTGCCCCTCGACCTCCACCGAGCTGAACAGCCGGAACCTGTTCTCGTAGGACGACATGTACACGTCTCCATCGTCCAGCCCGAAGGTCTTCGTCTGGAAACACAAACACACACATGAAACACCGTCTGCAAGGTGCTTTTTCTGAAGCTTCTCTTGTCACGACAAAGCCTCGCTCGCATGGAAACAACAAAGAGGCCTTTAAATGCTTTAATTCAGTAATGGGGCTGCATGTTATGTCAGCCCTATTTTTCATCCCCGCGCTGCAGATAATGTCCCTACAACTGTTCAAACCAGATCAGAAGGCCGGACTGGTGAAGACAGAGCGGATCTCTCTGTCAGGTGGCGCGTTGCCAGGTCCACTGGGCACCGAGCAAACACCCAGGGAATGTGTGCCCCCCTCTGCTTAACCATTAAACCCCCTCCAACCTCCCCCGCCTCTCATCGAATATCAGCCCCAGTGTCCAGTTTCCTGTGTCCCTGGATTCCTCCTCGCTGTGGACACCAGCTCCTCCCGCACACACATATCAAACCAGGAATCTGTCCTCTGCAGGGAGTTTAATCGGACTAGTTTGTTTATATCCACTGTGATCTGTGGAAGTCTTTTCAACATGAGTCCGGGCTAAAGAGACTTACAAGTGCTGCTGTGCAAGAAGGAAGCACGACAGAATAACGTCAGTTTCAGTGCAAACAGCTACAACAGTGCTGCAAAAACATGTTAGAATTAGTGCTGAGATGATTAGTTAGTCATTACCAGCATCACTTCTGATAATCAGTTAACTGACAAAAAGTGTTCCTAAAAGTTTTGACCCAGTCAGACTATTTAGTTTCGTCTTGTACTTAAATAGACAAAATTGTGCCGGAAAACCCAATTTTGTTTGGTGTAAACTACAAAGTTTTAACTTAAGGAGACAGAAAACAAAGAGAAGCAGCAAAGAGTTAGATTTAAGAAGCTGGAAAATCAAGATATTTGCTTGGCACTGTAGAATAGTCTGGCCAGAAAGGTGAAGGAAGGCAGACTCAGCAGACTTCTTGTGTGCAAAAAAGGTGAAGATTTTACTCTACAGTGCTTCTCCATTCATGTAAGACTAAAAATAACAAGACAATATAAAATCATTTACAGGGGAAAGTTATTTCAAAGTTAACTTACGCAAAATAATATCACACTTTAGCAGCAAAGCCTCACCCCACTCTCCTGAGGCCGACTCTCTACTCCTTATATATGGTGCTCAATTGACACCCTGCTCACGTCAGCTCTACCATCACACAGCAGGTGACTCTTCTACAACTATGATGAAACCAAATGTGCAAACCTCATCCTTGTACACACTCCAAACTTGTAGGCATTTCTACATGTCACCCTCAAACTAAACATTTACAGCCAATCCTGATTGATCCTTTGAATACAAAAAAATCATTTATCCAAAAAGGACAAAAAAACCCTCCACTTGGTCTGACCCAGTGATGTCACTCTGACACCATAAAACCAGGAAGTGCTGGACCGGCCCACTCCCTAACACCGGTCCTGCAGGGTGGGTCAGAGCGAAGCAACAAAGAAGAGTAAGAATGAACAAAGACACAAACACTGAAACCACATTTAACCTGTGACTTAATACCTGAAAGGACTTAATTGCTGTGTGTTTTCTTTCATCTCCCATATGATGGATGGATGATTTTATGTTGGTGTTGTTCTTTCTGGTGTAGCAATTTCCCTGAGGTTTTGTACCGAAGGGATCAATAAAGTTTTATTCTAATTCTTTTATTCTAATTCTATTTCTGTGAACTGTAACATATTAACACAAACCAACCCGGGATACTGTGTGCCACAATGCTACACAAGCATGGTTCAAATTAAAGCAACACACAAGGAAACAGTGTTGTGTAATGTGTAACATGAAATGAGGACAAGTGGTGAGGAGAAATGACCCACTTTGTCACAGACACATGACTTAAATTACAAGTTTATTTGCCAGTTATATTTTTGTCAGTCAGATAGTTTATTCATTTAGTCTGTCAGCGTTAAACTGTGAGGATTTTCTGCTGCTACATTTTATTACTCACCTGTTTTATGTCACTGCATACTGACTGTAATTCAGTTCGGGGCAGCGGCTCAAACAAAACAAGCAACCAGAACATGTGATTTTACTCTCTGGGAAACTGACGGTTACTCCTCTTGTCAATTAATCATTGATTTATTCCTCGATTAGTTGTTTGGTCAATAAAATGTTAGAAAATTGAGAAAAATGTCGATCAATGTTTCCCAACGCACAAGATGACAAATGTCTTGTTTTACCCAAAACCAAACAGTTTTCAGATTGATGCCATAGAGGAGGAAAGAAACCAGAAATACAGACATTTAAGAAGCTACGAATAGAGTATTACTCAAAATAATTGGCAAATAATTTAAGTTTTCACATACTTGGTCAATTAAGCTGATTCTGATGTGAAAATAATTAGCTGCAGCTCTGCTTCCTAAGTAAGATCATTACTGGGGACATCTGTAGACATTTGAAGTAAACACATTTTAAATCCAAAAAGTGAGACTTCCCAAATATAAATAATTCAGAATTACCAGCTGTTACAAGCCAGGTCCCTTATTTACTATCTCTCATATATTATTCAAAACATTTTGTTGGAACTTCCATCAGAGGCTCTCTGACATCAACAACGCAGAACGATTATCACGTCGGCTGAATTTTGGGGCCGATATTTGGCATTTTTCCAATTACCTACATCACTATTTTTATTAACTGATTATTGATAAATGAACCGAGCTACTGTAGGTCTGCTGCAGCTGCCTCTCTGTCTGCTCTCTCTGTTGTCTCAGCAATGTCTCCTGGCAGAGAAGCAACCCACAAAAACACAGCCGTGGCCACAAACCAGGAAGTGAGCTACTTTAGCAGCAGGAGGCCCCTGATTAACCTGGAACAGTGTCTGGAAAACTAATAGTTCTAATAATAATTGATCAGATTTATACAGCGCTTCTCTAGGCATTCAAAGACACTTTACACCGTCAACTATTCATTCACACACATTTATTCCGCTGTTGGTAGCTACGATTGTAGCCACAGCTGCCATTCTGCCCTCTGACCACCATCTCAATCCATTCATACGCATTCACACCAGACAAGGTGGTGAAGTGTCTTGCCCAAGGACACAACGACCATGCCACAGGTTACAGGTTACAGAATTGAACCGCCGACCTTCCGATCATTGACCGACTGGCTGTACCACCTGAGCCACAGCCGCCCACAGAAACTACAACAAAACTAGTCTGTGAAGATTCTCAGTCACCCAGGTCATGGTTGTTCTTATAGATTAATTATGGCAACTGGACTTGCTTGAGTTCCGTGAAGACGTTTCAGACCATCCCTCAACAGAGGTGGAGGTCTGAGGCATCATCTCTCACCTGTTTACAGTTCAGTCCTAAGATCTCTCCCCAGGAAGATGAAACTGCATTCACACCTAGCCACAGAAGACCCTAAAGAACCCCTTTGTGGTAGGGGGAGCACTAACGACCCACATAACGAGGGGGAGGAGCAACAAAACCCCCAATTGTAACCGAAACTCATGTGTTAACGGCTCCTTTAGGATATAAGTATCTGGATCTCCCAACTAGTGATGAAGCCTCCTGGATGAGAGGTGAAACTCAAGCAAATCCAGTTGCTACGATTAATCTACAAGTATAACAAAACTACAACTAACAATGCTTCAGGATCTGGACCTTAGTGGGCAATAAAAGTGATGCAACAGTGAACGATTAAGATAACAGAAAAGAACAGCAGACAGAACTACGGGAGTCAAACTGATCAGTATCATTGAACAGAGTGTCTTAACATCCTGTGATGCTCTGACATCATCACTCCTGTTGCCATCTTACAGATTAATCCATATTAATGAAGTAACCTCGTTATGGATGAGAGGCTTCCTGCTATCACATGCTGTCAAAATATAACATTTCGTGTATAGAATGCCTTTATTGTCACTATACACATGTCCAATGAGATTAAGAGCAGTTCCTTCAGTGCAACATAGAATAAAGAGCAAAAAAATAAAAAGCATCAGTTTCAAATATCGGCTATTTCTTGGTCACCAATTATCGGCACTGATATCAGCCTGAAAACCCTACATCAGTCGATCCCTAACATGTAGTGGATGTTGTTGTTTATCCTCCTAATAAATAATGCAAACACAACAATGCATGCTTTTAAAATACATTCCACCCATTATGACCTCTCCACTTGCAGGATCAGCAGATATGCAGCAAAACTAAACCTTCACCTATGGCTGCTGTTAGGTCACGTGATCCTTATTTTGCCTTTTCAGCACCCAAAGGTCGCGGATAGCTCCGACTGATCACCACTCGCACTAATTAAAGCTGTAATTACATGTTGTGAGCACGAAGCGATGGAGGATTCTGCAGCAGAAGCTCTGATTCAGGTCACTGCTCGTGTTAGAACCCAGAAAGAGCAGCATCTATCCCGGTGCTGGTGGTTCCACCGAGCTGAACGTTGACACTAAACGCCTGCACTGTACCTTATCGGTGGCAGAAACCGCCGGCAGCGCCAGATGCACGAGTCGAGCCTCGACATGGCTCCTGATCCCGGGCCGCCCGCGGTAGTAGAAGGCGGCTGCAGCTGCTCCGGCCGCCGCGGTCACGCAGGCTCCGGCGGCGATCAGCCTGGACGGTCTCTGTTTGGTGAACGTCCCTGATCTGGAGCTGCTGGTGAGGGAAGGGAAGAGCCTGCGCAGCGCGGCCATGGCTGTTTACGCCGAGGTGTCGTAAGCAGCAGGACACGGAGGAGCCGCTCCGAGCTCGCGAGAAATCTCGTGGGTGTTTGACGGGATTAGAGGGCGTCAGGTTGTCAGAGTGAAGGAACTGTGGAAGTAAACACTGGGGGCAGATTCTGTGTCACCTCTCGTGATTTTTACTGTGTTTGAATTTAAAGTGATGCAACTTTACGCGCGACATCAACTCTCCCTGCTGCGTGTCTCTTATCTTCTGTCCCGGGAGAAGCAGGAATAAAAAATAAAAAAAAAGGAAAAAAAAATCCCTGCCAGGGCACGTCTCCTCTGTGACAGCCCCGCCCATCACTCGTCCTGTGGTTCTGCACCTGCCTCACCACCTCTGCCACTCCAGGAGCTGCTCTACCTGCACTGCAGCGTTTCCTGAACTCCTCTCCTGCGCTGCGGCTCCATCCGCTCAGCCTCCTCCGCGGACAAACATGAAGCTTCCAGCTGAGGAGGAGATCTGCTGAGGTTTTGGTGAATGTTTCATGTCAGAAGAAGGGGAAGAGAGAAATCCACGCGTGTCCTTGCAACACGGGGGACATGTGCTAAGTAACGGAGGAGGGGGACGTAAACATGCAGTGAAGTGACGCTGGCAACCAGGTAGCCGAGTACGCACAGAGCGCTCCCTCCGGACCTCCGCACTGAACTTTACCCGCTGCGCTTTGACGCGATGGCTGCTGGAGCTGCTGCTGCTGCTCTGGGCGAAGTTGGAGGCGTCCTGCACGGCATCGACGGTGTGGCGCACGTCGGGTCCCATTTCTTTCTGACCCCACTCGGAGAGAGTCCCACGCTGCTGGGGGAGCACCTCATACCTGGGGACAGGCTCTCCAGGAGCACCACGGCGGATTTAACGCACCTCAAAGGGATCCTGAGGAGGAGACAGTTGTACTGCAGAACTGGGTTTCACCTGGAAATACTTCCAGATGGCACCGTGCAGGGGACGAGGAAGGACCACAGCCGATTTGGTAAATATTATTATTATCATTATTATTATTATTATTATTATTGATATATTTTGGCGCAAAAAAATATGAATTACCATGAAGGGGACGAGGAAGGACCACAGCCGATTTGGTAAATATTATTATTATTATTATTATTATTATTATTATTATTGATATATTTTGGCGCAAAAAAATATGAATTACCATGAAGTTTGTAACATTTAGTGTAAAACAAAAAGGAGGAAGAAGGAACAGGATAAGAATAGAAATGCTTTGGTGAAATTCTGCACTGGGCTGCTGACAAGAGTTGATGTCTGAGCGTCTTTGATACCACTGTGTTATTTCCTGCAGGTATTTTGGAATTCATAAGTCTTGCTGTGGGTCTGATCAGCATCAGAGGGGTGGACAGTGGACTCTATCTGGGCATGAATGACAAAGGAGAGCTGTATGGTTCTGTAAGTACCACATTTACTCATTTGTTCCTTTTTTCCTCCTTTGTAATGACCAACAGAGAGGGAAAAAATCACCCTAATGAATAAGATAAATGTGTGTTAAGTCAAAACTTCCATCCTGCTGTTTGTTTCCAGGAGAAGCTCACGGCCGAATGTGTCTTCAGGGAGCAGTTTGAGGAGAACTGGTACAACACATACTCGTCCAACCTCTACAAACACGGGGACAAAGGGACGCGTTACTTTGTGGCATTGAATAAAGACGGGACGCCAAGGGACGGGACTAAATCCAGGCGGCACCAGAAGTTCACACACTTTCTGCCCCGGCCTGTGGACCCCGACCGGGTGCCAGAACTGTACAGGGATATTCTGGGACACAGCTGAGACCTGGAAGAGCCTGGTCCGGATCAGGAATAGCTGCTTTACAAAAAGCCCTGAGAGGCAGGCAGTGGGAGCAGAGCGGGAGGCAGGCGGGGATGCAAGGCTGGCGGACAGCAGCAGCAGCAGCAGCAGCAGCAGCCCGACCAGCAGGGATAAAGGCACCGGGGGGCCTCCTGTAGGAATGCACGGGGCCATCTCTCAGCAGCCAGGACGACGGGCTAGAATGTCTGCGGGCTCGGCATGAGGAGGTCGTTTGTTCCAGAGCTGCGTGGAATAGGAGACAAAACGGGGCCGAGAGGAGCATCTCCTCTGTGGGACATGGACGTCTGTGGGAGTCTGTAAAGTCACAAGAGTTGTGTTGGAGAGCCGTGGTTTGCTTAGAAGGACTTTGAAGGAATTCAGTTTTTAACAAAAAAAAAGATATTCTTACCTGTGTCTAGATCTGCTTTAAAAGAGCAAAGTGTAAAAGAAAAATTATTTATTCATTTTAGATACATATATATTTATGTTATATATTTATTTATTTGAGAATATATTTTTTACAGTTAGAATCACGCAATATAGAAAAACCACTAGAGACTGTATCGATTATATAAAGACACTGTACTGTTATGTCCTTTATTCTGGGAGAGAGAAAAGAAAAAGCTCAGCAGGTGATACGCTGTAATATAACCAGAAACATGACTTATATTGGCAAAATTCTGACAGAACTCTCACACCTGATGTGCATTTTTATCACAATACGGCCGCTGGGAATCAATTGTTTGTCTTTTCGACGTGCTAATCATGAAAACACAACTGTTACATGTGTTCTAAAGGGAATCTAAAGTCAACAAACTGACAATATAAACAATAAATTGCTCGAAATCTGATCAAAATGCTTATTTTTTTTGTCATAGGATCAGGCATGAAGGTATTCTGTTTATTGCTCACTGTGTGCCCACCTATAATCAATGTTCTCTCAGAAAAAAAGAGAAAGAAAAAAGTGTACTTTCCTGCAGAGTTTAAACATATAAACCCGCTTACGAGATCAATGTTGTCTTTCTTTATGGACGCCGTTGTGCCCGATGCACGCATAAAACTTCAAAGCCTCCCTCCTGAACGTGGAGGCGGCTCAACGACACGATGGGGGCCAAATAAAATCTGACCTTTAGTTCAGGCTCTGCAACTTTAGCAGCTGTATAAAAGCGGAGGTCACAGCGATAAGGATTAAGTAACCCACTGCTCACAATTTGAGTTCAGCCCCGTTGACATGTCGCATTAAAGAATGGAAGTCAAGGTGGCCAAAAAAAATAACAAAACCACAAGTAAAGGTTTAATCTCTTGTTTTCAGACTGTTTTTATCTCTTTATGTTAACAGAAATATTATTATTATTGCAGGCGGGAGTTGAATTTGTGATTTATTTTCCAGGAGCCACTATCTCATATCTGAGCACTGTTGCCTCCACGGTTGGGAGCAGATCTGTGTTGAAGCATGAAAGCTCGGCCTGTGATCTGTGAGTGTTTTTGTGTGTGTGATGGTGAGCCAGTGGGGGTGTCTCGATGTGGATATTCAACCCTGCTGCCAACTCTCTCTCTCTCTCTCTCTCCCTCTCTCTCTCTGCCGTCTTACAGCGCGATACTGTGGGACTTTCCCACCTGCACACCTTGAACATCAACAACGCTGCTGCCGTCGATTAATGACAGCATCCTGGAGTGTATTATAACCTGCAGCGCACGTGGACATCCCCCCTCTTCTGTCCATCCAGTAAACACATGCAGGCTTATTGCAACATGAAAAAGACTTCATCCTGCTTGTTTTTTTTTTTTTGCAGAGAAACTGTCGCTGCTTGTCTTTCTCGTAGCCTCTTCTAGAAAAACCCAAGCGCATGTCCATGACTTTGACCCGCAGCTTCTTTTCTGTTGTTGTTGTTGTTGCGATACCTCTAAAGTTTCAGTGCCATTACCTTTGCAAGCCATGAAAAGCAGACTTTGTGCAAATCTAACCCCTCTCCGCCCCCCCTTACTTTTTGACATTTTGAAGGTCATCCCTCTAAACACGCTGGAAAGCCTGACTTGTGATACCTGATGCCCAGAAGTGCTCTCTGGCACTTGTTTAACCGATGTTTTCGGAGTCTACTTGGCCCCCGAGACAGATGCTTTTGTTCCACCTACTCCTCCTCCTCCAGGTGGTCGCTGAAAACACTTAAACCCCTCATCTGCACCCACTCTGGAGGGCCGACTCACACGCTTAATGGACGCTCCCTGACTTTCATCGCCTCCTCAGCGGCGGCCTTAAAGGGCTCTCGAGGAAACCAAATCAAGTGTGCACTGGTGTGTGTGTGTGAATATGGCATGGGTCCACGGGCAGGTGTGGAAGTCAGTGATCTTCCTTGTCTATCTTCACAGTCCAGTCAGACAGCGCAGGTGTTCCCTCAGCACTCAGGCTCTCACACTCTGATCTCAGCCCTGCTGTTTGTCAGCTGGGGATATGACTTAGCAGGAGGAGGGTGGAAATATAGCCGGCTTTGTTGTCTGCCCCCAATTATCAGAGAGCATAATTTCTATATTTAGAAGGCTGCGTTTGGGGAAGACAGGGGAGGTGCCGAGAAGCTCACCTGTTGCTTTAAAGCTGTGGCCACTTCTAAGAGTGTGTTTGCGCAGGGATGGTGTCTGCAGCTTTGTGTCATTTCAATCCTGCAACTATTGATTTCAGGCTCTTTGTTGTTTGTTTATTCCTTAGTAAATTGCCGTGCGCACAAATTATTAGCTGCATGTGTGTTTATGGGGATTACAGCAGAAGTGTAAGTATAGCGTTATCCACTTGATACTTTTGGGCTTTTATCCGAGTCCAGAGAGAGAGGCATTCCGGAAAAAAATCCACAGCCGCTGTTCCCGAATATCCAGAAGAGAGAGAGAGAGAAAAAAAAAAAAAGAAAATCATCTTTCACACTTCCTGCATTGTTCTTTGTTTGAGTTCAATCATTTTTTTAGTGTCATAGCTGAGAGGATTTTGTGGTCTGCAGTTCACAAGCAGCAATTAGAGCGGCATACCTGATTTCCTGACACCTCACATCGCGAGCTGTCAGCTCCAGCGGAAAATATGCTCCTCTGTTTGCATCTCCATGGAGACATTAGTAGAAAAACAGCGATTTTTAGGTGTCGTGTGGAACAAAAAAAAAAAAAAGAGGAGAAGCTGCGGCATTGTCATCTCTGCAGAGGTTGAGGCTCTCTGTTAACAAGGAGCCCCGAGTGAAGAAAACAGCATTTTGCAGTCGCTGACAGTGTTTTTGTTGAACTAAAAGGATGTGAACACGCAGTACCTGCAGGAGGAATCTGAGCTGGTTCAACAAACACACCGGAAGTTTTCAACACTGAATGTTAAGTAAAGAAAATATTATGAAGTCATGAAGTTCCCTCACGCAGTGCAGCTTTGACGAGTTACTTACATTTACATAATTGTACCTTAGTGGCCTTTTTAGGCACTTTATACTTCTACTTTTTTTTAAATAAAGATTTAATTTATCATCTTTTATTCAACAGGACATAATAGAGAAACAGTGACGTGCAGCAAATGGTCCAGTCAGTGTGAAACTGAACCAGAAATCCACCGAGCAGAGAGCATGTGATGCAACTTTAACCTGGTTTTAAAGACAAATATTATGCATTTTGCATGACTACATTCATTTGACAGCTCTAGTTACTTTAAGGATTACGATTTTATACATGCAAATAATCCTTTTATAAAAAAAAATCAGATTTGCTGATGATTAAAATCCATCTCTGGTTGCTGATTTAACTCCTAAAAGCTCATCTCTGTGTATCAATGTTACATAATTATAAATTTTACGACCAAAATATTCCCTTTCTGCTTTAAGATGTGCAGATCTATAACGTCTCTGCCTCTCTCTCAACCAGCCGTCTCCCACTCGACGCAGCTCAAGCACTCCAGCTCACCTACACCTCTGCACTGTAAAGCCGCTCAACAATACACAATGGTGAGTTGTATTGTTGGATTAATTCCGCCATACATGTTGGAACCAGAAGTCCAATCTAAAAAAAGAACAATGATACACAAAACCCCACCCTTTTGTTCTGTTACGTACCTCACTGGTATGCTGCAGTTTCAAGATCATCGGCCATAACCTTGATGTCTTGTTTCACTCATGATGCATCTTCCAGCCTATGGGAGACACTGTATGGACACATTAACGAGGTTTAAAAAGGGAATCACTGGAGAGGTCTTTAAAGCTAAATGTTACTTACAGAATAACAGTGAAGCTAAATGCTCCACCATGTTCAGCAGCTTGCTAATAACTTTGTGAGTTTGCTGTTTGGTGCTGAGCAGGACAAAGGAACTCTTTACACATTTAGTTCATTACAAAAAGTTTCAAACAGAAGCCAACACGCTGTCTTACTTGCAAAAGGGCATTTATGAGCAACCTTTCAGTGCTGGACCTTCATCAAAGAGGGAAAAAAACACATCCTAATGAAAGTCTAGTTCTGAAATGTTGCTAATAAACACATTTTTGCAAGTTAGACAGTCGCCAGGAGTGTGTTGTAAACTTTTAGGGATCTGATTCTAAAAGCAAAGTTGACAAAAACAGTGAGAATAAACCAAACCAAGAGACTAAATGTCTGTTTAACCAAAACAAGGAGCTTAAAGATGCTAAAATGTTTCGTGGAGCACAGATTTGATGTTACACACCTAATGTTAATGTAAAATATTAGTTAGCAGCTTTAAGGCCACGTTTACACATAGCTGGGTATTTACAAAAATGGATCTATGTTTTAAAAAATAACATTGTTCACACCAGATCGCTTTCAAAAAAATCTCAGTTTACACAAACCCGCATTAACACGTCATTAAGAGCTGCTATGAGCAGCCAAACCTATAGGGGGCAGTGTAGCGAGGAGTATAAAGCCACGCTAGCCAATCAGAATCCTGGAAAAAAAAACGTAAAGACAGAGTTTTTCCAAATCTCCACTTTGGCCGGAGTTTTCAGATATGATCGTTTTCGGTG